AAAAAATAATTAAGAAATTGTTGTATTTTTGGTTACCAGACAGACTGTATTTTCTCCACGAAAATTGGCCATAAAAATTCACCCTGCTCTTAGAACTTGTATGCTACTCAGTTGGTCAAATCTTTTCTCCGAAAAATCTCTGGCTGTTTTTGCGCATTTTTTCTCCTACAGTAGCTCGCCTTTCTGTGTCTAGAGAACATCTCTTGCTTCTGAACATTTTCTTAAAATTTAGTTCCACGAAAAGCTTGGACTTTTTCTCTTGAAACCACTGTGGAGAAAAGTCGGGATGTTTTCAGTGAGGAAAGCTCATCGCCCACCGCGCCCGCTGCCCGCCCACTGCCCGCCCACTGTGCGCCCACTGTGCGCCTGCTGCCCGCCCACTGCCCACCCACTGCCCACCCACTGTGCGCCCACTGTGCGCCCGCTGCCCGCCCCGTCCGTCGCCCCACAGATAAGGCAACCGGCAACCCGGCAACGAGCCGCGTCAGGCCCAGACCATCTATCAAACCGTCGGGCGAGGGCGGCACTCGGCGACGCCCGCCGACGCTGTGGCGTCCCGACACACGTATCAATCTAACCGGAACATTAGGTGCCTAAAGTGACCGGGCTCAACGAAACAGGCATTTTGGTGTCTAGGATAACCGGGCTCAACGAAACAGGCAGGTCACCCTCCTCCGCGCCTATTTCGCTGAGCCCAGCTATAGACGCTTCCTGTTTCTTTCAGCTTGGTTACGCTAGTCTCCTGCCTCCGCTCGTCCGCTCGTCCGCACGTCCAACTCGACACAAGTGCCACCGGTTGTACTGGTGACATTTTAATTCCGATTTTTCGTCGTACTCACAGCGTTTCACAGTATCCGCCTTCTTTTTCTAAGGCCCCGCCCGGTCACCGTGATTGACTCAAGCGTCGTTGGCTCGACTTAGACCTCTCGGACAGAATCTGATGAAAGTCGATGTAAGACTAACAAAAATGGTGATGGAATATCCACAGCTGACCCAAAATCTGCGCAGAAACGCGCACCAACGCGTAACGACGTTGATAATGTCGACGCTAACTGTTCCTGTGAGATTTATCACTCTTATTTGGTTGAAATCGCGACGTTTATCCTTCTAAGAACAGATTTGCGTGCAGCAGAACAGTTTGGATGCACAAATGCATTTTGGTTCGCCTCCTGTTTGGAACTCGAACGGCAAGTGTGGGATGCACTCCCGCAAGTATATGATCAACGGCACCCTCGCGCATGCAACAAGGCAAACAACAACTCTGCCAAATCAAAGAAGCGGGTGACATTGTACGCTCTGCTATTCCTCAGCGGCCGAAAAATCCCGGATGACTGTCAGTGTCAGCTGGTGGGCGAGCCAGGAGATGTATGGGTCACGCAAACCACAGTCCAGGTTTGCACACTTTCCGGGTGGGAAAATTGGATGGTCAGACAGACGATGAACGGCGGCAACTCTCACCCATATCTTCCGGATTGCAAGCTTGCATGGTGACCTCAGACTCGTTGTTTTTCTTACGGGCAGCCTAACAGTGGTATGTTGAGGTGGCAAAGAGAGTGGAACAGCTATACTCTAGATAGCCTTGAGAAAATGTTTCAGGATGTCTTGGGCGAAGTCGATGTCGAGAACGCCATGGCGCAAGTGACCGAGAAGTTTTCGTGGGAAAGCACGCGACGAGTCGTTCCGTACGTGAACATCTCTGAAACCGGTATGGCTGCCCTCGTATACTCGTTCTTTTCTGGCTATAATGCCTTCGCGATAGTGTTCGATGACGTGAGTAGATCTCCGTAGAGCCACATTGCCTATTCCTACTCCTGCTCAACCGACTAAATTTACAGACCCAGTGGTTGGGATCAATGAACCCGTCTTCACACACATCCCTAGAGAATCAGATAGCTCCGGATACATGCTACCAGACACACCAATCTGATCTCGCGAACCTTCAATCTAACCCTGCGCAAGGACCTGATGATACGAGCTCTCTGCGGTCAGAGTTGACACCTATTCCTGATGATACGAGCTCTCTGCGGTCAGAATTGACCCCCATATCTGATGATATGGTTAGATGGCCAAACGGAGAAGTGACCGACCTTCCTGCCTATATGCAGGACCTTCCGGTACGTTTCGTCGCATGATCCGTCTTTCAGACAGGTATTAATTGCTGCAAAGGATGTCGATGGTCAAATGGTTCGATGGATGGCAGAAGCTGGAAAGGACGCGACATTACCGTGGGAGGATGAGGTCGCTCACCTTCGCTCGCCTCGGCCCGCAGTTCATATCATAGAATACAGAGAGATAGTTCGCAATGGCGTTACGGAGAAGGCTCTCAAGAACGAGGTGATTGAACATCTTCGATATGGACAGATGGTAGTTGTGAAGGACTGGGGGGGGCCCGCTCTGACATGGTCAGAAGAAGACTTCGCGAAACTTTTGGGTGGGCTTACCCCTAAGGCCACGTCTCTTGATGTCATGTACGAATGGCAGTGTAAGTCCACCATTTTTGCCGAGAATTAAGACAATTGAGGGTGACTATTATCAGCTGCATCCAAGCGCATGAACGCACGGAAGGATCCAGAGGCGCCCATCACAGAGAAAGGGACACTACGGAAGTTCAAGCACCTCGCCGAGTCGAGCGAGATGCCTGTGAATCTGCTCGACTTCCCAATCTCCGAAGAGATAACACCATCTATAATCTTGTGCGTGCTGAGTTTTATCATGACGTAGGAGCCGCTGTCACACGTCCACAGGCATATCGCCTGCGATGTTCAAGCTCTCACCGCAACTACCACGATGATGCCAATGAAGAGCATTCAGGCAGACGTGCAGAAGTATAGGTTATGGGCACTACTCACCGCTCCTGGGTACTACGCATATCCTCACGTAGATGGCTCAGGACTTTGCACATACATGATGATCACGCAAGGGTGCAAGTACTGGGCCATCCTGCGGATGGCAGATCCCAAGAAGAAGCTTACAAAAAAACAGCTCGAGAACTACGCTACGTGTACAAGAAAAGCTTTTAATCAGTACCTGAAGATCGCGAAAGTATCCAACGTGTATAACGTTGCGCCTACAGAGCTGCCTGGTCTTGTGACAGTGCACTTCATAAAGCTCGAGCCAGGGATGCTTGCGTAGGTACACTCCTAGCTCTTGAGACCTCACACTAAATATGCGCTTGTGTAGCATCCAACCGCCTGGCGTTTTCCATCAAGTGTACACTCCTGAGAAGTCTGTTGCCGTAGGAGGCCACTTTGTAGTCGAGGAAGCTCTGCATCTAACGGCATGGAGTCGATTTTGCACCACCCATGCGCAGGGGGCAGGGACAAATGCATACCATGACTCCACCATCCGTGTATTTGCATGTATCATGGTTGCTGCAGCAGTAAGGCGCGAGTTAACTAGTAAGTAACCGAGGGAGCCCGGTGACGTTGTCCTAGCCTCTAACTTCACTTCTCCGTAGTGAATAAGCGGTGTTTCATTTCTTTAGCGCGAATGCTCAAGCAGAGAAAGCTATTCTCACTGGCCGACTTCGTCAAGGAAAACACAGACGACCCAGATCCCGTCCACCCAGAGACCGAGGACGAGGTGGACCTCGCTCTCGAGTTGGTTGACGAGGTGCTTAGCCACAACGGGCTGATGTGGGAAAGGCTCGAGATAACTTCCAAAGGTCCCCCTCTCTTTGACGACGAACTGCCATGGTATGATCCGGGTGTGGAGATGGTCGACCATCCATCAAACTTGCTCACAATCGTGCAGCAGACGCTGCAATTCAAGTGACTGCATACGTTTATTTACTGTGAAATATGTATAAAAATTAACGTGCTAGTGCTGTGAGATATGTCATGGATTAACCGTAAGGAAGCCAGGTCTCACAAGCTACCAACACTGGCAGCACCACCAAATTTTTCCTAATTAGGAATGCCGCTTGCCCCTCCGACGGGCTCCGTGTTCGGGCGCTTATCCTCATTGCTCCCGCCCGCGCCCTCGCTGGCCTGGCCTCCTGCCCTCTCACCTCTCATGCGGCCCATTTTTGACTAAGCATCGTCGGTTGTACTGACGGTGTTTCGAACCGTCTGCTCTCCTCATCCTCTGCTCGCCGTCAACCCACTCCGATATGACGCTCCGATGCGACACGCTCCGTGCTGCACCCATGCCCTCGCTTCATACTGCTCTCACCTCCCGCTCTTATTCCCTGTCTACAGCGTTGTCACCCATGCTGCTAGCAGCTCGGTGGCGATGTTAAAGACGGCAGTTCGTGCATATGCTCGGCTGCTCTGGGAGAAGGGATGAACCGTCGCTGGCATCACCTCAAGGCGCAGAGAGATGGGGAGCACAGCCAAGATGGATTGAGCCATGATGCTTCAATGCCATACTCGTGAGTATTCCTGCTCCTTGAGTTGGTTGCAAA